ACAGGTGTGTGCCACCACATCCAGCTAATTTTTTTTTTTTTTTTTTTTTGAGACGGAGGCTCGCTTTGCTGCCCAGGCTGGAGTGCAGTGGCCAGATCTCAGCTCACTGCAGGCTCCGCCTCCCGGGTTTACGCCATTCTCCTGCCTCAGCCTCCCGAGTAGCTGGGACTATAGGCGCCCGCCACCTCGCCCGGCTAGTTTTTTTTTTTTGTTTTTGTTTTTTTTTTTTTTTTGAGACGGAGTCTTGCTCTGTTGCCCAGGCTGGGGTGCAGTGGCCGGATCTCAGCTCACTGCAAGCTCCGCCTCCCAGGTTCACGCCATTCTCCTACCTCAGCCTCCTGAGTAGCTGGGACTACAGGCGCCCGCCAACCCGCCCAGCTAGTTTTTTTGCATTTTTTAGTAGAGACGGGGTTTCACCGTGTTAGCCAGGATGGTCTCGATCTCCTGACCTTGTGATCCGCCCGTCTCGGCCTCCCAAAGTGCTGGGATTACAGGCTTGAGCCACTGCGCCCGGCTAGTTTTTTTTTTTTTTTTTTGTATTTTTTAGTAGAGACGGGGTTTCACTGTGTTAGCCAGGATGGTCTCAATCTCCTGACCTCATGATCCGCCCATCTCGGCCTCCCAAAGTGCTGAGATTACAGGCTTGAGCCACCGCGCCCGGCCTCACATCCAGCTAATTTTTGTATTTTTAGTAGAGATGGGGTTTCACAGTGTTGGCCAGGCTGGTCTCGAACTCCTGACCTCAGGTGATCTGCTTGCCTCAGCCTTCCAAAGTGCTGGGATTACAGGCATGAGCCACTGCGCCCAGCCACCCCCAATTTTACATGATCTTTATACCTGAAATAGCCCCACTCTGGTTTGTTGACATTGTGTATATTGCACAGAAGCAGGGAATTTGTGCCAGTATGGGTTCTCAGAGAACTTTTTTCTCCTCAGCTCCTAAACTTGAACTCTGCAGTGAACTGTGGTGCTTGCAGTGACATTGGCCAGGAGCAAGCCCTGTACCTGTGAGCTGGTGGCTTTGCCCTGGAGTGACTACTGCTCAAAGTTGCTTTTAATATTTATTTATTTATGAGACGGAGTCTCTCTCGCCCAGGCTGGAGTGCAGTGGCATGATCTTGGCTCACTGCAACCTCTGCCTCCTGCGTTCAAGCAGTTCTGTGCCTCAGCCTCCTAAGTAGCTGGCAATACAGGCACCTGCCACCATGCCTGGCTAATTTTTATTTTTATTTTTTGTATTTTTAGTAGAGACAGGTTTTCTACTATCTCTTGACCAGGCTGGTTTTGAACTCCTGACCTTGTGTTCCACCCCGCTTGGCCTTGCAAAGTGCTGGGATTACAAGTGTGAGCCACCACGCCCAGCCTATTTTTATTTTTTAATTTATTTTGAGACAGTCTCATTCGGCTGCCCAGGCTGGAGTGCAGTGGGGCAATTCAGCTTACTGCAACCTCCATCTCCCGGGTTCAAGCAGTTCTCCTGCCTCAGCCACCCAAGTACCTAGGATTACAGGCACCCGCCACCATGCCTCGCTAATTTATAAATTTTTAGTAGAGACAGGGTTTCACCATGTTGGCCAGGCTGGTCTCAAACGCCTGACCTCAAGTGATCCACCCACCTCGGCCTCCCAAGTTGCCAGGATTACAGGCGCTAGCCACCATGTCCAGCCTATTTTATTTGTGAAGGAAAACTGGAATCTTTTTCTGCCCGGGGTTACAGCAGGAGAAATGTAATAGACCAGCAAGGCTGCTCTCAGGAGAGGCCTTCCTCCCCTCTAGAGAGGGCAAGACATCCTCACGGGGACTCAATTCAGAATGTAACAGGAAAAAGCGAGTGACTCCAAAGACAGCCACAGGTGTGGAGTCTGGAAATGAAAATCACAGATAATCCACTCCCCTTTGTGTCTTCCAGCCCCATAATGTCACCCCATTATAGCCCAAGACCCTTCCTGTACCAGGAGGGCCCCCATAGGCTCTCATCCCCCAAACCGGCCTGCAAGGTGTGTATTAAACTGATGGTGACATTGTGACTGTCCAGATGGGCCCCTGAGTGAAATGGGTCACTACTGATAGTTCCCTGGTGGTCCTGGGAACACTGGGGTGTAAGGTCACCCTAACGGTTATGCTGGATTGATAGATAGGGTTGGTCACTTGCCCCAGGCCGATGGCTGGTACGCGGCAGGGCTGAGATGTTCACTGTGTTCTGGCTGTTTCCACTGTACCACATTGTTCCCAGCCCTCTGTTTTCTTTCCACCCCACTTCCCATGACTTGCTTCCCCTTTGAGATGTGGTGCTAGTAAATCTTAGATTCCCTTGGCCTGTACTGCCTGCCTCTGTTACAAATGCCTTAGAGTTTGGGGAAGAGATGGAAAGATCTATACAATGTAAAGACAGAGAATTTTAACTTTCTTTTTTTTTTTTGAGACGTAGTCTTGCTGTCACCCAGGTTGGAGTGCAGTGGCACAATCTCGGCTCGCTGCATCCTCTGCCTCCTGGGTTCAAGCAGTTCTCTACCTCAGCCTCCCGAGTAGCTGGGATTACAGGCACCCACCACCACACCCGGCTAATTTCTTTGTATTTTTAGTAGACAGGGTTTCACCATCTTGGCCAGGCTGGTCTTGAACTCCTGACCTCGTGATCCGCCCACCTCGGCCTCCCAAAGTGCTGGGATTACAGGTGTGAGCCACCGCACCCGGCCTGAGAATTTTAACTTTTAATTGCTCTAAAGTTGCCATTAGTTTGACCACCTAACGAATGAACTGTAGTGGGTTGCTGGAGAGGTGATGCTTAGCGTCCGAGTGTTTTGCGCTGGGCCTCTGTGGTCCTGGTGGCGGGTGATGGTATGCCCCTGCTCCCCTGCCCTGACTGCACCCTTTTTCTCCTGGCAGTTGTCCCTGGGGATGAGCCCAGGGAGAAGATGGACTTGGTCACCTACTTTGGAAAGAGACCCCCAGGCGTGCTGCACTGCACAACCAAGTTTTGTGACTACGGGAAGGCTCCCGGGGCGGAGGATTATGCTCAACAAGATGTGAGTCTTCCCCAGGGACACATGGGGGAGGTGGGAGGTTGCGGGAGAAGGGGCTGCGGCATCTTCTGGAGATGGGTACTGGCCAGGCAGGGACCAAAACCAGATGGCAGCTCAAGAAAAATGGCATCTCTTCCTCCTAGCTCCCCTGTCCCCAGGCATAGTTGCGTAGACCTCAGCCGCAGGTTCTAAGGAGCCTGCCCTGGCAGTATCGCCAGCCTGTGCATTCGCCTGCCCCCAAGCACCTCCGCCTTCTGCAGATTCATGGAGAATGCTGGTCCACAGTGGGCTCCTGCTCTGGCCTCTCTGAGCCTGTTTTACCTTCCAAAGACTAGGAGTCCCTCACCACCAGGGAGCCTGGTGCACTGAGGTCCCCAGGTCTGAGGTCTGGCCTGGCCCCAGAGTGAGGAAGTTTCATACGATAGTGAAGCTTATTGGCTAATGGGTATGAGACCTTTCTGCACCACACAGCTGGCACCTTACACCCACACCGCCACTGACAGTGATCCCTGAATGCCAGGCATGTCGCCCAGATCCACACAGTCTCCAGCCTCCAAGTGTCCACCCCCAAGTCCACTCTCCCACTTCTCTGCCTAGGTTATTAGCACAACCGTTTGTCTGTTCACTGGAGTGTCCTCCCAAATGGAAGCTCCCCGAGGGCGTTTTTAGGTTTCGTTGACCCCTGTGGTTCCAACACCCTAGCATAGTGGAATGAATATGTAACAGCTGAGCTGCCATCCCTAACCATGCCTTCATTTAGCATTTATTAAGTACCCATTTCATGCCAGACACTGTTGGGACAAGGGATCGTGAGCAAAAATAGAAAAGCTTTTATGCTGAGATGGGATGGGCTTTCTCAAAGAATCAGATAGAAGCAGACTTACCAGATGGGAACCAAAGTGTAAGAGCAGGTTTCCATCAAGGGCAAGTCTGACCTCACCCTGCCCTCCAGGGCGCTGCCTGGGTCCCAGGGGAAGCTGAGCAGTGCCAACAGTGGCAGCTGCTGTGTGCGCGGACACCCTTGTGGGCTCTTCACCTAGTCACTCCCATAACCACATTAACTCTGAAGTAGGCTCTGGTTCTCCCTGTTTTACGGGTGACGAAGCCAAGGCACCGAGAGGTCAGCCAGCCTGCTGAGGCCGGACGCAAGTGTGCAGGGAGCTGTGCTCCCTCAAGAAGTCCGGCTCTCCCCATGTGGCCCTGTCTGAATGCCTTCGAGTTTCTCACTTGAGCCTGGAGTGCCTGGGGAAGGTGCGTGCCACAGGTGTTAGTGGATGCTGGGCCTATACCTGACCCCTGCTCAGCTGTGCTCACTTCTGTTAGACTTCCCCTCCTCTCCTCCAGGAGGGACCCTCCCTGGGTCAGCTGTTCCTCAAGAGCCCACCATCTCTAGCTTGGGCCCCTCTTTCTCACTCTCCCCAGGTGGTAAAGAAATCTTACTCCAAGGCCTTCACACTGACCATCTCTGCCCTCTTTGTGACACCCAAGACGACTGGGGCCCGGGTGGAGTTGAGTGAGCAGCAGCTGCAGTTGTGGCCGAGTGATGTGGACAAGCTGTCACCCACTGACAACCTGCCGCGGGGGAGCCGCGCCCATATCACCCTTGGCTGCGCAGCTGACGTAGAGGCCGTGCAGACGGGCCTTGACCTCTTAGAGATTCTGCGGCAGGAGAAGGGGGGCAGCCGAGGCGAGGAGGTGGGCGAGCTAAGCCGGGGCAAGCTCTATTCCTTGGGCAATGGGCGCTGGATGCTGAACCTGGCCAAGAACATGGAGGTCAGGGCCATCTTCACGGGGTACTACGGAAAAGGCAAACCCGTGTCCACGCAAGGCAGCCGGAAGGGGGGCGCCTTGCCGTCCTGCACCATCATATGAGTGTTCTCACCACCACGTATGCCCCTAGAAGGGAAGGGGAGGAGAGGGAAACGTGCCCTCTGCTTGATCCTTGTTTTGTGATTTTTTTTTTTTTTTTTTTTACTCAAAGTTAACTTACCTATAGCTTTTTAAAAACTTGTAAAATAACTGACCCTCCCTTCCTGTCCGCCCTCTTCCCCTCTAATGCTCACACTCCCAACACAAGGTGGGCGGGGAGGCACCATTCAGGAACCTGGACCAAAGCTAACGAGGCTGGACCAAGCCAGGAATGGGGCCACAGCCAGAACCCCGAGCCCTGCTTCCAGGTTCTAGTTAGCTCAGCCCCAGCCCAGCCCAGCTGCTCTGCCCAGAGCTGGGCGAGTGGGGAGACACCTCAGAATCCCGCAAAACCCACTGACCAGAGGCAAAAGGCAATGGGGCTGAGGGTAGTTTTCCATGGTCACAGAGAACTAGTGGTGGCTTTGAGAAAGGGAGGACCTCTGGGCTTTAATTCCATCTCCTTGTCTTTTTTCTTTGTTTTTAGAGACAGGGTCCTGCTGTCTCCCAAGCTGGAGTGCAGTGGTGCGATCATGGCTCACTGCAGCCTCAAACTCCTGGGCTTAAGCCATCCTCCTGAGTGATCCCATTTCTTAATCAGCATAGCCCCAAGAAGGCTGGGGCTATTTACCAGGGTAGAAAAAGGAGCTTACCTCCCACCTTTGGTCCTAAGTCCCTGCCCCTCCCCTGCACACCATAACTAGGTAACAGTTTGATAACTAGGGAAGAAAGCAGAACAGTTAAGCAGCCACCACATCCCCGCTGGCTGGGGGCCTCACTCCAGGAAGGGGCTGGACTGGCCGTCCTTTCCAGTGGCGTGACTCTGCTGTGTAGATGGGGAGATCGAGGCCAGAGGCAGCACCCTGGTGAGGAAGCTCCAGTCCTGCTCTCTACCCAGCCCATTTTGCCTCCATGGTGCCTCTGGAGGCCTCTGGGCCTCCTCTAACGGGGGCTGGTGGGCACCAAGAGCCAGTGGAGTAGACCCCTGGCTGGTAAGGGCCAAGTCCCACCGGTTGCTTCTGGGAAGGGGTTTCTAACACTGGTCTATGTGCTGTGGTTCCTGGGGTGCCCTCCACTGCCCTCTGTTCAGTAACAGGGCCTTGCTAATCAGGTTGTCACTCAACAAAAGTACTTTGGATTTAAGTTACTATCCTGGCTTTGCCCAACCTCAGCAACTTGTAAGACTGATAATGAAATAAATCATGTTAATCCTAGCTGTGTGCAGTCTCTCTTACCCTTCTGTGCCCAGCTCAGTCTTCCCTAGGGCTGGGTGTATTAGGACTGGCTTTGTCCCACAGCTTGGGGCCATCGGTCCTGTCTCCCCTCTGCTGGCCGGGCACAGCTGTGGTGAGGTTGGGCAGCTGAACAGTGTTGGCTTTCATGAGGAGGCAGAAAGCAGAGGCTGGCCTCAGACTCATACAGAAGGTGGGGGTTGGCTGGGTATGAGGGACATGGAGCACAAAAGCCTCTCATCCCCCATTAACCAGGGCACCAGGCCCACAGGTGTCCCCAGCCCACTGGATCAGAAAGATCTCAGTAAGACCTGAAGCTCCTGGTATGGGTTTCTCCCAGTTCTCTAGGGAAGGCCACCTGTAGGTCACTGCAACTTCAAGCATCAGGGAAGACCTAACATTTGATTCCCTTCCAGGCCATTAGAGGCCTAGTCAGCCACAAGGGAAACTTCCCAGGCCTGACTCAGGCATCATTTCACCATGGCTAAGGCACCAGCCGGGGAAGACTTGAAAGAAAGGGGCAGGAGCTCAGATGAAGAGAAATCCTAAGTTACCTTTCTAGGTCAAGGCCTGTCCCTGGCCATCTCTGAGCTTCAGCTAGAGCTTCAAGTCTCTGTCTGGAGCTCCTGGGAAGGCTACTCACATTGAACACCATGCTTGACAGGACAGCATGGTACATGCCGCTGCATCCGTGAGCAGCGTGTCTCCTGCACGCAGAAAGGGAGCAGAGAAGGCCAGGGGCTTTTGCTAAAAATAGTGAGTGGCCAGACCAGAGCTCTGGAGCCACCCGTCCCACTTCAAACAGGTCTGGGGGTCAAGAGGCAGGGTTTTATCTCTGTCTACCATCTCCCTCGAACCCACACTGCAACAGGAACTGAGAGAGCCTTTGTAAGTAAACTGCCCTGTCTAGGTCAGTACCCACCTGAGCTTTGGACGCACACAGCTTCTAGTGATTTCTGGGGCCCCACTGTAAGGTGAGCATGCTTTCTGAACTCGCTTCTTCGTGACTGATGTCAGGCTGGGCCCAGCGGCACAGCCAGGGCCTGCCTAGCACTCACATGTGGGACAGGTCTGGGAGAGGCAGAGTGCCCCACCTGCCACTAGGCTCGGTGCTCACAGCCTACCTGTGGCAGCTTGCTGCACCCCAAGTCCAGGTCGGGCTCAGCTCTGGCTCACAGACTATGGAGACAAAGCAGATGCCAGAGCAAAGGGCCAGAAAGGGTCAAAACATTTTATTCTCTTCTTTTTTTTTTTCTTTTTTAATAAAGTTAAACAGTAAAACAAAAATTCACAAGCTGCCTCCCTGTCCACCCCCGCCTCCCTCCCCTGCCCGCGGTCTTCGGCATTGGTTCCCTTTGCTCCACCCCACTCACAGAGACACAGGGCATCCAACTGAGAAAACGAAACTGCTCTAAGTACATGGAGACGTGATGAAGGGAGGAGGTGAACTGTTTCCACATTCAAGATTAAACTGAGTGAATCTGCATTTTCTGGGTTCTGGGTGGTTGCCCTTCATTAGCCAAATTGAAAAAAGAAACTCCCTGGACCAGATGCTGAAAGAGAAAAGAAGGGCTTGGTAGTTGGCTCTGGATTTTCTAGGGAAGATCACTTTGCTCTGATTATGGAAAAGTTTTCAAGGGCTGCTTCAAACTCAAACGCAGACAGAAACTCTATGGGTATCAAACAGCTCAGGCTGTTTTGGGGTGCAAGAAGGAGCAGGTGACCGTATTATACGTAGGCAGCTTCTAAACACCTTTGCTCTTGTAGAGAAGCCTCGGCAGTAGGCAGTCAGAGATGCCCCCTGACCCTGCAGAGATGCAGTGGCTAAAGGTCCCAAGGCAAGGGGTGCCTTCCTGTCTTCATCCTTAGCAACAGCCGAGTGGATAGATGCCATGCTAGATGAGAACTCAGCCGCCCCCTCTCATGGCCCCGCTGACTCCCGAAGAGCTGCCGAAGTGGCAGTGAGTGTGTTGGCCTGTGATCTGGGAACTCCCAGCAACAGCAGGCCCACCTACCTTCAAAGCTGAAGCCTCCAGGACCGCCGAAGAAAGCCTTGAAGATATTGTTTGGATCAAAATCTGTAGAGCAAGGCAAGTAACATGGAAGGGAAGAAAAGGTGAAAAATTAGAAATGTTTGAAGAGAACTGATGACACTGAGAACAGATCTCCAAAGCTTTCCTGGAGAGTCTCACTCCCTCCTTTCCCAACACTTCAGACTGCAGGTGAGCCAACCTGCCCAACCCCGTGCAAAACATGCTACCTGATCCCACTCCTAGGACATGTTCCCTTCTCCTTCCAAGTGCTGCCCCAAAGGAAAGCTTTCTCCGCTTCAGCGTGCTTCGCTGGGCTGTTTTCTCAACAAATGGAATGCTATTTGCACTTACACAAGACTTTCCCCATACTCTGTCTCCCTATAATGCTGGAGCGGCTACTAAAAAGGATAAAATGTGTCACTTAAATGTTACCAAAAATAAATATAAGAACAAGATCTAGGATTTACCATATTTGATTCCATGTCTTTTACTCTGTAGACTCTAGGCTAGAAAAAAAGCTATGGTTTATTAGCTGGGCATGGTGGCTCACACTTACAATCCCAGCGCTTTGGGAGTCTGAGGTGGGAGGATTGCTTGAGCCCAGGAGTTCGAGGCTGCAGTAAGCTATGATCACAACACTGCACCCCAGCCTGGGTGACAGAGCGAGACCTTGTTTCAATAACAACAACAACAAACCAACAAAAACACCTACTAGGTGCAAGGTACTGGGTACTTTGCATACATTACATTAGTTAATCCTAGTAATGATTTGTCAGGGTAAGTATCATTCCCAACTAATACTCAACAAAACATGTGTAGGTAGTTCAAGGAACTTGCCCATGATCACATGGCAGCGAAAGCAGCAGAACTGGAAAATCCAACTCCTGCCTGACTGACTGTGCACTTTTGCGAGGCCACAGCATGTCTGATGGCCCCATCCCTGACTGACTTCCCAAGCTACACAGAAGGACTGATCCCCACCAGGTGATCCCACAGCCACCTTGTGCCCAGAGTGAGTTTCTCTGCTTGCATCTGCGTATCTTCCTGGGCCTCCCCTGCTTAGTGAATGACCCCAAGAGTCAGCTATGGCTGTCACTCTCCCCAACACATCTGAATAGCAACCAACTCCTGCTGAGTCTACCACTAACTCCCGACTGTGCCCTCCAATCCTTTCCTACCTTTTGTCTTCCTTCCATCTCCATCCTCCTTACTCCCTCCAACCACCACCTCCTCACCTCTATCACAAATATATTTCCAGAGCCAAAATCTGGTCCACAGTGCCCCTACTTAAAACTCCTCACGGCCGGGCGCGGTGGCTCACACCTGTAATCCCAACACTTTGGAAGTCCAAGGCGGGCGGATCACGAAGTCAGGAGATTGAGATCATCCTGGCTAACAAAGTGAAACCCTGTCTCTACTAAAACCCCAAAAATTAGCCAGGCATGGTGGCGGGCGCCTATAGTCCCAGCTACTCAGGAGGCTGAAGCAGGAGAATGGCGTGAACCTAGGAAGCAGAGCTTGCAGTGAGCCGAGATCGTGCCACTGCACTCCAGCCCGTGCAACAGAGCGAGACTCCGTCTCAAAACAAAACAAAAACTCTTCACTAGCTTTTGACTGCTTATAGCTCTTCTTAACTGCTGGGCAGAGGAACATGTTTATTATGGTGAACCTAGGTTTATTAAACACAAATCCCCCCACACTGAACTGGAGAGGACTCAGTATTATCTATATAGTACCATCATTTTTATTTTAAATTCTGGCTGGGTGCGGTGGCTCACACCTGTCATCCCAACACTTTGGGAGGCCAAGGTGGGCGGATCACATGAGGTCAGGAGTTTGAGACCAGCCTGGCCAATGTGGTGAAACCCTGTCTCTACTAAAAATATAAAAATTAGCCGGGTGTGGTGGCAGGTGCCTGTAATCCCAGCTACTCAGGAGGCTGAGGTAGGAGAATTTCTTGAACCCGGGAGGTGGAGATTGCTGTGAGCTGAGATTGCACCACTGTACTCCAGCCTGGGCGACAGAGTGAGACCCTGTCTCAAAAACATAAAAAAAATAAACAAATAAATAAATTGCAATAGAAGGCCAGGCACAGTGGCTCACGCCTGTAATCCCAGCACTTTGGGAGGCCAAGGCCAGCAGATCACTTGTGGTCAGGAGTTCAAGACCAGCCTGGCCAACATGGTGAAACCCCGTCTCTACTAAAAATACAAAAATTAGCTAGGCATGGGGGTGGGTGTCTGTAATCCCATCTACTCAGGAGGCTGAGGCAGGAGAACTGCTTGAACCCGGGAGGCAAAGGTTGCAGTGAACCGAGATTTTCTTAGTGGAAGAGATGGTAGGTCTGTGCACCGTTCACGGGTCAGGGCCTCTCTTTTTTGAGACGAGTCTTGCTCTGTTGCCAGGCTGGAGTGCAATGGCGCAATCTCGGCTCACTGTAGCCTCCACCTCCCGGGTTCAAGCGATTCTCCTGCCTCAGCCTCCCAAGTAGCTAGGACTACAGGCGTGCGACACCATGCCCAGCTAATTTTTTTATTTTTAGTAGAGATGGGGTTTCACCATGTTGGGCAGGTTGGTCTTGACCTTGTGATCTGCCTGCCTTGTTCTTCCAAACTGCTGGGATTACAGGCGTGAGCCACCATGCCCAGCAAATTTTTGGGCAGACAACTTATAGTGAAGACTGCCTGACTGAATTAATTAATTAATTTTTGAGATGGAGTCTCACTCTGTAGCCCAAGCTGGAGTACAGTGGTGCAATCTCGGCTCACTGCAACCTCTGCCTCCTGGCCTCAAGAGATTTTTGTGCCTCAGTTTCCTGAGTAGCTTGGACCACAGGCATGCGCCACCATGCTCAGCTAATTTTTTGTATTTTAGAAGAGAGTACAATTTTTTTTGTATTTTATATGTTGCCCAGGGTGGTCTCGAACTCCTGAGCTCAGGTGATCCGCCCACCTTGGCCTCCCAAAATGCTGGGATTACAGGTGTGAGCCACCGTGCCTGGCTCACAGGTCAGGGCTTCTTATCTCTGACAGCCCACAGTGAGCAACAAGATTGACAATAGCTGTGCTTTATATCATGCTAAGTCTTTTGGGAAATTAAAATCTGTGAGTGTTTATAGGAATGTATGACACACATAAATGTCAGCATACACTTTGCAGTGGGTAAAGAAGAACTTCCAGATAATAGGAAAATGCCCATATTCCTTACCACATACAGCCCTCATGGCCGCTGAGCTCTGATCCAGCTACTTGCTGGCCTTCCACCACCACTTGCCTCTAGCACCCTATCCCTTTATTTTCCTAGACCGAACCCCCTGCAGATCCCCAAAGGGACCATGCTTTGCTTTTTGGCGGGGGAGGGATGGAGTCTCGCTCTGTTGCCCATGCTGGAATGCAGTGGCGCTATCTTGGCTCACTGCAACCTCCACCTCCCAGACTCAAGTAGCTGGGATTACAGGCATGCGCCACCACACCTGGCTAATTTTTCTTTTTTCTTTCTTTCTTATTTTTTTAAATTGAGACAAAATCTTGCTCTGTCGTTTAGGCTGGAGCACAGTGGCACGATCTCAGCTGACTGCAACCCCTGCCTCCAGGGTTCAAGTGATTCTCATGCCTCGGCTTCCCAAGTAGCTGGGATTACAGGCACCTGCCACCACACCTGGCTAATTTTTGTGTTTTAGTAGAGACGAAGTTTCACCATGTTGGCCAGGCTGGACTCAAACTCCTGACCTCTGGTGATCCACCTGCTTTGGCCTCCCAAAGTGGTAGGATTACAGGCATGAGCCACCACGCCCGGCCTAATTTTTGTATTTTTAGTAGAGACAGGGTTTCACCATGTTGATCAGGCTGGTCTTGAACTCCTGATCTCAAGTGATCTGCTCGCCTCGGCCTCCCAAAGTGCTGGGATTATAGGCATGAGCCATGGGGCCATGCTTTTCTGCACTTCCAAGCCTTCCCTTGCTAGTGTGCTCGCCTCCTCAGAGCTCACTGCACACTGTGAACCTGCCACACTTGACTGCATTTGTTTGACTCCATGTCTATTACTGTTTGGACCAGGGATCAGATTTGGCCCAAACAGACTCTCCCTCTGGAGCATCTTTGGAAAAAATTCTAACATTCTACGGCTGTCAAATTCACCCCAGGCTGCCCCAGCCAACTCACCACCCATATTCATGCCCTCCTCATCTAGGTCCTGTCCACTGTCATAGCGAGTCTTTTTCTTGGGATCAGAGAGGATAGTAAAGGCCTCTCCAACTTCCTTGAACTTCTTCTCCTCCTCCTTCTGAACCTCAGCACTGGCTCCACTATGCCGATCTAAAGTGGGGAGTAAAATAACAACTCAGAGGAAATCAAAGTTTCAAGAAAACAAAATTTAAGAGAAAAACCACTTTATGTCTGATTTTGGAATTTGGCATTTCCCAAAATTTGGAGGGTACACAAATCTGCAACACCTTATTCTCAGGTGAAGAACCTCTCCGAGGTGTCACCTCTGGACCAAGTCTGGCAGTTGGCCTGCCCTGCAGGTTCTTCCCACTGAGCCCACTGCCCCCACCTACTCTACCTGGATGGTGCATCAAGGCCCGTTTCCGATAAGCTTTCTTGATCTCGTCCTCAGAGGCATTCTTGTCCACTCCCAGAATCTTGTAGTAATCTTTCCTCTTACTCTTCTTCAGTTCCAGCTGTGCATTTTTTAGGAGCTGTTTGTGTTCTAGAGGAAGACATCTGGCATCAGGGGACAAACCTGACTCTGCTGTTTCCCTCACCAGGTCTCAGCCCAGCTGCCTGGGAGTTACAGGCCTTGTTAACCATGCCAGGGACTTTTACAGCGCTTTCTTCTGGAGATTAGAAAAAAAAATCTACTCGGCCAGGCACAGTGGCTCATGCCTGTAATCCCAGCACTCTGGGAGGCCGAGATGGGCGGATCACCCGAAGTCAGGAGTTTGAGACTAGCCTGTCCAACATGGTGAAACCCCATCCCTACTAAAAATACAAAAAATTAGCCGGGCGTGGTGCCATGTGCCTGTAATCCCAGTTATTCGAGAGGCTGAGGCAGGAGAATTGTTTGAACCTGGGAGGCAAAAGTTGTAGTAGTTAGCTATGATCACGCCATTGCACTCCAGCCTGGGTGACAGAGCTGGACTCTTGTCTTAAAAAAAAAAAAGAAAAAAGAAAATCTACCTAGACTTAGGTTCCTCACTTTAGCCTCACCACACAAAAAAGGAAATGAAAACGACAGGGAGGATCTGGAACCAGAAAATAGGTGCCTCGTGCCCCAACCCAGGATCTCTGTTCATTATTTTTTTCTTTTTGTTTTTGAGATGAAGTCTCGCTCTGTCGCCCAGGCTGGAGTACAGTCAAGCAATCTTAGCTCACTGCAACCTCCGCCTCCCGGGTTCAAAGAATTCTCGTGCCGCAGCCTCCTGAGTGGCTGGGATTACAGGCGTATACCACCATACCTGCTAATTTTTGTATTTTTAGTAGAGACGAGGTTTCGCCATGTTGGCCAGGCTGGTCTCAAACTCCTGATCCCAGGTGATCCGCCCGCCTCAGCCTCCCAAAGTGCTGGGATTACAGGCGTGAGCCACCGCGCCCATCCTTTGTTCACTTCTTTCTGGCTGGTGATCAAATAAGTTCTAGGTACATCCCCTTATACCTGAATCAAACTACCTTGTGTACAGATTTATGGCCTACAAAGAATTCCACACAGTTCCCTGAAAAACAAATGCTTTTAAACTTACCTTTTGTTTTCTCCGTCTGATACACTTTTTCATAGTCTCGTACTGCTTCTTCATACTGTTCTGTGTCCATGTAACTGAGAAGGAAATACAAGGCAATATAGCACTCAGACATAAACAGCAATGGTTCTCAGGATCACTCTAAGGCAAGAGGCATGGCTCAAGCAAGAGACACACACTTTTGGTAAGATGCTTCTGAAACAGGAGCCCTTAATCTAGCAGTGAGAGAAAATTGGCTATCAAGTCCTCGAGGAAATAGAGGCTGCATGGCACTTGCACCCACGAGCAAAGTGATGTTCAGCTTTGAGCAGAAAGTAATCAAGAGGAAAAAGTTCTTCTGACACAGAGCCACCTAAAAGGTACTGGACTGCCTTAGAAAAGGCAATGTGAAGGGATCTACTTGATTACTTTGGGTTGAAACACACAAGAGAAAAATTATCAAGTGAATAAATGGGTATGAAAGAGCTTTGAAACCTATAGTGCCATAAACATGCAGGACTAGCTACAATCCAGAGTAGAAGTGGGATTAGTGAGTCACTAAAAGGATCAAGTTCAACATGGTGGCTGCTGGCAAATCCCTCCACTAACACCAATCAATGAGAGACGCAGGTGAACGAGACAGAAAAGGGAATTCTAAACACAGGTTAGCTTTTATGTCGGTAGCACAAAAGAAAGGAAGGGCCCTTGGCCCAAGATTGGAGGAATCAAGCTTGATAGGATGATTGCCAGATCTTTTTTGTTGTTGTTGTTGAGATGGAGTCTCGCTCTGTCACTCAGGCTGGAGTGCAGTGGTGCGATCTCAGCTCACTGCAAGCTCCGCCTCCCAGGTTCATGCCATTCTCCTGCCTCAGCCTCCCGAAAGCTGGGACTACAGGCACCCGCCACCTCGCCCGGTTAATTTTTTGTATTTTTTTTAGTAGACCTTGTGATCTGCCTGCCTCGGCCTCCCAGAGTGTTGGGATTACAGATGTGAGCCACCGTGCCTGGCCAACTGCCAGATCTTTTAAGTGTCTCTTCCACAGAAGCAAGTGGCATTTTCCATGCCCAGATAAAATCACTGGCACCAAGGCTGGCCTACCAATTAAAGGCTGTGGTAGGAGTTCCAGAGACAGCCACTGTCAGCTGGGGAAGGGAAAGTGATCATGCAGTACAGCTAGCTGCTGAACAACAGAGATTCAGTTTCTTACACTGCTACCACCCAAGCCGTTTCTTTCTCTCTCTCTCTTTTTTTTTGAGACGGAGTCTTGCTCTGTTACCCAGGCTGGAGTGCAATGGCACGATCTCCACTCACTGCAACCTCCACCTCCAGGGTTCAAGTGATTATCCTGCCTCAGCCTCCTGAGTAGCTGGGATTTCAGGCGTGTGCCACCATGCCCAGCTAATTTTTGGTATTTTTAGTAGAGATGGGGTTTCACCATGTTGGCCAGGCTGGTCTCGAACTCCAGACCTCGTGATCTGCCTGCCTTGGCCTCCCAAAGTGCTGGGATCACAGGCGTGAGCCACTGCGCCCGGCACAAGCCCATTTTCACAAATATCACAGATCCCCACCAGCTTGGAGGCCAGGGCAGCAGAGTGCTACCAATGTGGCTGGCAAAAGAGAGGCCCAATATCTTTGGCATATTTGATTTTCTGGTACCATTTTGATTTATGACTTTAAAAAAACCAATGGCCTGCAAACACAGGACATAAATATTACATTAGGAGTTCAGAATCAATTTACAGAATAAAATGTAATATAATTTGAAGTAAGAGAAAATTGATACTTTGATACTGCACTCCAGACTGGGTGACAGAGCTGGATCCTGAATTAAAAAAAAAAAAAAAGGAAAACTGATAGTTGATAGCCCTGGGTATAGAATGAGGTGACAAACGATTAACCCTGATGAACTTTCTTTAGGTCTATATGTAATGTATTAAACAAACTATACTAATTTGCATTTTTACTTCATGCTTTTTAAAATTCAGGGATATCCTCAACATTTTAATTTTGTTTTAAAGTTGAAGTAGAAAAGTAAATAGGGCTTTAGGGAGGAAGGGTGAACTCTAGTTCATGATGGCATGTGTAGCAAAGATGTGCGGGTGGCATCTCCCCAACTTTAGGGGTAAGTTGAGGCACACTGCAGCAGTGGTCAGGCCAGAGGTAAGAGTTTGGCCCGAGCTAATCTCCAGTACTTCTTGTCAATTCCAGCTGCTTCAGGAGATTGTTGCCAAATACTCAGCCAGCTGAACGGGGTATGCTGTCTCCCCTGTAGTGATCTCAGAGGCAGAGCCACTCCAAGAAGGGCAGTTCTGTTTCTACCACAAAGATAAGAAGTTGTCTGATCAAAGCAATTCCTTATTTTTGTTTCTTGTACATAAACAAAGAAGAAAATAATCCTCCATCCAATTATCCTTCAAGAAATCAAGAATTTTCTATGGTGTTGGCTGGGAGCTTGCTTTAAAAAAAAAAAAAAAAAAAAGGGGGGCCGGGCATGGTGGCTCATGCCTGCCTGTAATTCCAGAATTTTGGGAGGCCAAGACAGGCAGATCACTTGCAATCAGGAGTTTGAGAACAGCCTGGCCAACACGATGAAACACCATCTCCACTAAAAATACAAAAATTAGCTGGGTGTGGTGGCATGTGCCGGTAATCCCAGCTACTTCGGAGGCTGAAGCAGGAAACTCGCTTGAACTCAGGAGGTGGAGGTTGCAGTGAGCCAAGATGATGCCACTGCACTCCAGCCTGAGCGACATAGTGAGACTCCATCCCCAAAAAAACAAAACAAAATGATTTTTCTCTTCTCTTTCCATCCCCTGGCATTCCATATACAGAGCATTCCATTAAGTCGACACAGTATCAAGTATCTAACCACCCCCTTCCCACTGGACATGTAGGTGATTCTCCCCGTGCCTTTTTTTTTTCTTTTTGCTATTATAGATAAAATTGCAGTAAACACCTTCATGTATATAGCATTTTGCATCTGTTAAAGTCAGTCTTTGGCTGAATCAAAGGGTGCTCTTTTTGTCTTCCAAAGCTTCTGCTTCTGTGTGCCAGTGGTTTGCAAAGATTGGAATGACTGACAGTCAGTCTCAGAAGTTATAATTCCATGTATGTTTCTGTTGGACAGACTTAGTCATCGACTTAGAAATTCACTTTAAAAAAAAAAAAGCATCACACACAGCAGCAGTTTTCCTATTTTAATTGAGATAATTTTGAGAAAACTAAGTGGGAGGTAGTCCATGAGATATTCTGTACCACTGATGAGCCAAGGAAGCTTAAACTACTGGCTCATCAGGCATCAATGACAGCATCTGTTCTTTGGATGTGACATTTTATAATAAGGAGTGGAGCAGGTGCTGGAGGATTAGTATACAACAAATACGTCTTCTTTAAGAACTTTAAAGATGGGAAGTTCTTCTCCACCTAGAGAATCATCTGAAATCAGAAGAGGTGGATTTCTCAGAAAGGTTTCTCCTAGCCCTGTTCCTATCTGGAGAAAATCAGCTGGTGGGTCTAAGAGTAAGAGGAGCAACTATGCCAGGGAGCACCCTGACTCTGGGGCAAATCTGAGCATTACAGGTAGGCACATCCTGGCTTATAATCACCCTGTCAGACACAGAGTGCCCTCCACTCAAAACATTCAAGCAGAGAGTAGCCATCCAGGGTATTTCAAAAGGAAGTTCCTTTATCCTGGGAGGCTGAGGCGGATTACCTCTCTTCCAACTCTAAGACTGTCTTCCCTCACCCAGAATAAACAGGATGAAATACAACTCTCAACTGTCTCTAAGAGTTACTTTCTCTTCCAAGCACCATACATTCATTCAACAAAACATTTACTCAGTGAGCACCTATGTGTCAAGCACTGTGCCAAGTTAGAGCATAAGTGTACAACACAAAATAAAATCTCCAAAGGAAATGGATTTAAACTTTAACAAAAGGCATTTGGGTCAGGCATCAGAGGAAACTTACTGACCGTGAGGGGCGTTAGACACAGGCATGGGAGACTGAGGGAGCTTGTGCAATCTCCTCCGCTGGAGGTCTATAAAGATAGTCTAGGGCTGGAACAATCCCACCTAGAGGCAGGGGGAAGGACCAAATGACCTCACAACATCTCTGGGTCTGCTTCGTCATCCACAAGGCAATTCCCCTGAGGCCAGTGGCAACTCCCTCTTCCCCCCACCCACCAGAGGCACTTACCACTGGGCTCTTCTCAAGTAGGCTTTTATGTAAGTGTCATCAAGCTTCACTGCATTTGTGCAGTCTTCTATTGCATCATCTAGTTTCCTAAGCTTCAGGAGAGAGAGAGCAATCATACTTCACATCTTTGGTGACTGAGGGAGCTCAGAAGCTGTGAGCATAGCTTCAAAACTCTAAGAGGATCAGTCATGCTGGCCCCCTAAATGTCGTATTAAGTTCTAGTTCTTTGACACCAGGGCTATGGACAGCAACTTCAAAACTGATTTCTCTTGTATATGATACAAGACAGGCACATTTGTCTTCAAGGATAAACTACCTTTACCACACCATGTTAGTGCCCAATGAAAACATGGACATAGCAGGCTGCTTCCTGCCCTCCTTTGTTCCAGAGGCCCCCTAGAGGGATCAGAAATCACTCTGATTTTTAACTGCTAGAATTCTGCAAGGGCAAGGAGTCTACTTTTTGTTTCTCATGTTGTGGAGGGCCACAAAAGCACTCAGGCCATTTTCAACCATGCATGGTGACCATCAGTTACACTGGAGAAAAACAACAAGCTTGCCTCATACTCTTCCTCCAAATCACTCCTAAAAAATAAATGATCACTTGCATAAGCAAAACAACAACAAAAAAGCAACAGTAGCTGCTTAAGATTATCCCACAGCCCCTAGCCATTCTCTTACTGGAAGGGACCTTAAAGAACAGGTGAGAATATCCTTGCAAATTGTCCAACTGCCCTCAAATTCCATGGAGATGACAAAAGCTTGCCTCTTGGAAGGGAGTTCCCAACAAGCTATAACCATAACAACTTTTCCTCTTTCATCTTGCTCACCTTCATTGGGCAGATTTCCCAAGACCCTTTGATGTCCCTTAAAAATATATCTATAGGCCCCAAGATGTAGATCAAGAGCTTACCTTGGAATTAACCGTACCCCGATTACAGTAGAGTTTAGCATTTGTTTTTATATTGTTGGGGTCTATCCCCAGGGCTTCTGTGTACAGTTCATATGCTAGTTTGTAATTTCCTTCCTTAAATGCTTTATTCCCATCTTCTTTCTTTGCTTTGAGTGCTTTGGCATTCTACAGAAAAAAGCACGGGGAAGATCGGTTCATATCCACAAAGCCTCAGACCACTGCACAGAGAAGCCAGAGTCTATTTTCAAGTTCTTGGCTTATGGTAGTTTAGCATCACAGAGCCCCGCCAACCCCCAATCTGGGCTATCTGTTGCTCATTTGAGCTTTCTACAGACTGGACAGGAGAAACCAAGAGTCACCAAAAAGACCTATGTTACTGGGTCTGCCTCCACTTCCCAGGGCAAGTATTACTATCTATCTTCACTGAGGGGAAAAACAAAACAAAACCTTCTTAGATATTAAAGGCATCCGACCCTATATGATCAAATTTACCTTTAGGTAGATAAAAGTAGTCCTAAAACCATTTCTAATAAAGACCAAGCATGCTTGCAAAGCAGGAGGAAAGGCTATGACATTCCCTGTGATTCTAAAACCTTCCCCTCTAGCCGTCTTAAAGGTCCCAAAAGGAAGCTTTCTTTCCCAGTTAGGTCTGGTGACTAGAACTTACTCTGCAGGCAATGCAGGCTTTCTCATGGTCAGGAGCCATCCTGAGAGCCTGTACGAAAAACTGAACTGCCTTCTCAATACAATCTTCATAATAAAGGCAAAGACCTCGTACATATAGAGCATCTGCATTGGTAGAATCCATTCGTAGAATGTCACTGCAATAGTCAGAAAAGGGCACATTGAGCTGTGCTTTAGAATGTCCCCACCATTACTACCATTTGTGGCCAGTTTTTTTCCTTGACCATGTGTCTGGCATTCAGAATATCCAAAGGTAGACAGATTCCCAAGAACTGTTCCCAAACTTTCCCCAAATAAACCACCTATAATTATCTTTAAAACACATCTTGTGTCTTACAATCCTCATTAAACTAGAACAGGGTTTGGCAAACTACAGCCCACAGGGCCAAATCCTTTCTGCCACTGGTTTTTGTAAATAAAACTCTATTGAAACAGCCACATCTATTGGTTCATCTATTATCTAGGGCAGCCTTTGCACTGCAATGGCAGAGTTGAGTTAGTTGCAACAGAGACACTGTGGCCTGCAAAGGCTAAAATCTGGCCCTTTGCAGAAAGTTTGCCAACCGGTGGAGTAGAAGGAAAAGACTACCTTAAACAAACAAAAACTACAAAAAACTCATGTAACACAATCTGTTCTTTCGTATATAGTACCTGCTATACTACTATACTCCTGTATACCCTATGGGTTTTCAAAGCTGGTCTAATCTTTGACTTTAAGTCTTAAGAGGGTCTCATCAGCCCTAGCTGGCCTGCTCTGGGGACCATATCCTGTGGTGAAGCTGCCGGACACCATCAGACCAATGGTATCTGGCATTTTAATGCCCAACTGGCCTGACTGCATACCTAGCCACAGACTGTGCTTCTGGATAACGACCCAGCATTGCTAAACATTCTGCCTTGAGGATTTTGAAGCGATGGCAGGCAGGGGCAAATTCTAGGGCACGGTCCATGCAGAAAACAACCTGTGGGGAAGAAGAAAACAAATAAGGCTCTTCATCAGGGACTCCAGAAACATCTTCAGTTTAGTCACAGGAAACAGACTCAAAGCTCAAAGAAGTCTTTGGGTCCACTGTTAAGTAATATCAAAGTTTAAAAACATACCTAATTCACTAAATAAACGCACTGAAATGAGGAGAGCAAAGATTCCAGAGGATAATGATGGTGAACATTTATTGGGTGCCTTTGTATATGAACCCATTTAATCCTCACAACAACAATTTGTGAAATAGGCAATATTATAACTTTTTTTTTTGAGACACAGTCTCGCTCTGTTGCCCAGGCTGGAGTGCAGTGGCACGATCTCGGTTCACTGCAATCTCCGCTTCCCGGGTTCACACCATTCTCCTGCCTCAGCCTCCCGAGCAGCTGGGACTACAGGCGCCCGCCACCGTGCCGAGCTGATTTTTTTTTTGTATTTTTAGTAAAGACAGGGTTTCACCATGTTAACCAGGATGGTCTTGATCTCCTGACCTTGTGATCTGCCCTCCACGGCCTCCCAAAGTGCTGGGATTACAGGCATGAGCCATCACACCCAGCCTTAAAATAGTTATTTTAAATGGCTCTAAACAGGCTATATCAGATTACTATTCCCAGCATGCCACTATACAAACCACAAGCCAAGTAGCTCTCACACACACAAAAAGGTGGGGATTAATTTACTCTTTCAGCCTCATAAAGCATCTTTTTACTAGTTTGTCCTCTGAGCTTTCAGTTTTGGTTTAGCTGCTATTTATTCCTGGGAGAGCCTTGCTGAATCACATTCACTCCAAGAATAAATGAACCAAAGGAGAAATGTGGAGTTAAAGGACACCTATTCCCTCTAAGAATCTGGCCATGGGGATCAAGAAGAGATAAACTCTGAAAACTTACAAGCAGAAAAATTCAAATTCCATCAACAGGAGACTAGTTAGATAATGTGGACATTCATATAATGGAATACTATGTAGTTCTAAAATAAAATAAAGAAGCTCTTCATGTACTAATATGGAAAGAGTTCCAAGACCTATTCAGTAATTTTTTTTTAAAGGTGCAGAACTGCCAAAAAGCATACATCTTTCATGCAAGGTAAAGGTAGAAAATCCAGGATCTTTATTTTATATATGTACAACAAAACTACAGAAGAAAATAGAAGACATAAGAACAGTGGTTAGCTTAGGGGAGTGAGAACTGGGCAAAGAGAGGACAAGTTTGAGGGGACACTAATCACTGAATATTTTTCATACTTTCTAACTTTTGTTTGTTTTTGTTTTTGAGATGGGGTCTTGCTCTGCTGTTCAGGCTGGAGTATTAGTGGCACAATCATGGCTCACTGCAGCCTAGACCTTCCAGGCTCCAGTGATTCTCCTGCCTCAGCCTCACGAGTAGTTTGGACTGCAGGCACACGTCACCACACTCAGCTAATTTTTAAAACTATCTGTAGAGACAGGGTCTCAATATGTTGCCCAGGCTGGTCTCAAACTCCTGGCCTCAAGTGATCCTCCTGTCTTGGCCTCACAAAGTGCTGGGATTACAGGTATGAGCCACTGCACCTGGCAATACTTCCTAGTTTTTGAACCATGAATAGCACCGATTCTAAAACTGAAATTTAAAATATGAGCAAGTCAGTAAACACTACCAGCTTACCAGCTGTTCACTGAGAAGACTTTCTGCAGTGTCACAGAGCAGTGACAGGAATGCCTCTCCTTCAGTGGCACAGGTTACTGTCCTGAAAGTTTTTTTTTTTTTTTTTGAGACGGAGTTTCGTTCTTGTTGCCCAGGCTGCAGTGCAATGGCATGATCTCGGCTCACTGCAACCTCTGCCTCCCGGATTCAAGCAATTTCCCTGCCTTCGCCCCCGGAGTAGCTGGGATTATAGACATGCACCACCATGCCTGGCTAATTTTTTGTATTTTTAGTAAAGATAGGATTTCTCCATGTTGGTCAGGCTGGTCTCGTACTCCCGACCTCAGGTGATCCGCCTGCCTTGGCCTCCCAAAGTGCTGGGATTACAGACATGAGCCACCACGCTCGACATGTCCTGAAAGTTCTAAGGACAATATGAAAACTTAAGCATTACACAGGTAGAGTTGGGCTAACTGTCCTGCCCCCCTCAGATGGAAAAGGAATGAGGGGGCAGAAAGAAGTCAGTCAAAATGTCAGCAGCCACACCCCGCTGCCTTCACAAGGACCCCGTTTTGTGCAGAGCTGGTCCTGCTCATCATGGGGCTCATCAGCGCCTCACTTCCCACCCCCACCTCCCCATGACTAGGGACAGCTGCAGGCAAAGAAGATCTTTTGTTTCTTCCAAGTTCATCTGTTTCCCCTGCCAGGATCATAATTCTTCATTTGTGACATCACCATGAGCTACAGTAGGGGGGGCTGGGATGTCACAAACAGAGGATTCTGTCACAAACTCAGGATTCTGGCTCCAGAGTAGGCAAGAGAGAAAAGAAACCCAAAAGACTGCCTCTCAAGACAAAGCTTTTGCCTATGTAAACCTCAGAAAACGTGACAGTAGGCAGAACTGCTTTCCAAACACACACACGCCAAACAAAACAAACTTACGAATTACACTACAAAGACAACTGTGGTTATTAAAACCAATGGACAGAAGAGGGATGCTAATAAGTTACTGCTGGGACTGTGCAGAAGCTAATCAGATATATACATTACCAAATAAAAGACCATCAGTGAATGTGAATGATTCTTAATGTACCCGCTTATCAAACATTTACTGAGCACATGCTCCAAAAAGCACTGAGCAAATTCCCACATATGAAGTGACAACTTTATTCTTTGGACAGTAGTCACAAACTTAAGTGATGCAGAAAATCTCTCCTGATCAGTGGTTATTAACCTTTTGGGGGTTATCTACCTCCCTTTTAGAAACTCAAGTGAAAACTGTATCCAAGCACCATCTAAAGAAGAAAGGAGTTATACAGGTAAAGTATAATAACTGCGAGGTCTAGAAAGATACCTAGAACTTTTGGCCAGGCGCAGTGGCTCACGCCTGTAATCCCAGCACTTTGGGAGGCCAAGGCGGGTGGATCACCTGAGGTTGGGAGTACGAGACCAGCCTGACCAACATGGAGAAACCCCATCTCTACTAAAAAAATACAAAATTAGCCGGGCATGGTGGTGCACGCCTGTAATCCCAGCTACTCGGGAGACTGAGGCAGGAGAATCGCTTGAACCTGGGACGCAGAGGTTGCAGTGAGCCAAGATCGCGCCACTGCACTCCAGCCTGGGCAACAAGAGCGAAACTCCATCTAAAAAAGAGAGAAAGAAAGGTATCTAGAACTTTTATACCTTTCTCACATTTCAGATGTCTACCCCTTTGACATGTAAATTTTCAAGAACTACTGCACAGTCTAACATCTAAAGACAGTCTAATGCCAAAAAGGAGGGGACAACAGGTTAAGCACACTATTCAAAAATGTAAAAGGGGCCTCTCCCATTTTTGTTCTTTTTTTTTTTTTTAAGAGACAAGGCTTCATTATGTTGCCCAGGCAGGAGTGCAGGGGTTTTTCCACAGGCTCAATCCCACTACTGATCAGTATGGGAGTTCTAATTTGCTTTGTTTCCAACCTGGGGCAGCTCACCCCTCTGTAAGCAACCTGGTGGTTCCCTGGTCCCAGGAGGTCACCATATTTATGCCAAACTTAGTGTAGACACCCAATCAGCATCGTGCACTATAGCCCAGAACTCCTGGCCTCAAGCAATCCTACTGCCTCAGCCTCCCAAGTAGCTGGGCTATAGGCATGGCATTGCCCAGCTCCTTATTTCTGATTTAAAAGCAGAAGTTAAAGCCAGCTCTTATTATTCAAATAAAAATGGATTATCCAGGGCCAGGTGTGGTAGCTCACACCTGTAATCCAGCACTGTGGGAGGCTGAGGCCAGAGGATCAGTTGAGCTCAGGAGTTTGAGACCAGCCTGGCCAACATGGTAAAACTCTGTCTCCACTTACAAAAAAAAAAAAAAAAAAGGCCAGGCGTGGTGGCTCACGCCTGTAATCCCAGCACTCTGGGAGCTGAGGCGGGCAGATCAGGAGGTCAGGAGTTTGAGACCAGTCTGACCAACATGGTGAAACCCTGTCTCTACTAAAAATACAAAAATTAGCTGGGCATGGTGGCGCGTGCCTATAATCCCAGCTACTCAGGAGGTCGAGGCAGGAGAATTGCTTGAACTTGGGATGCAGAGGTTGCAGTGAGCCAAGATTACACCACTGCACTCCAGCCTGGGAGACAGAGCGAAACTCCATCTCAAAAAAAAAAAAAAAACAAACAAAAAAAAACTACAAAAATTAGCCGGGTGTGGTTGCATGCACCTGTAATCCCAAGGTGGCTGAGACAGGAGAATCACTTGAATCGCTTGAACCCGGGAGGTGGAGATTTGCAGTTGGCCACTGTGCTCCAGCCTGGGCGACAGAGTGAGACTAGGTCTCAAAACAAAAAAAAGATTATCCAACCTAATATTTAATTCCAGCTGGCTTTCCCTTTATTAAGTAGTACACCATTGGCCAGTGCTTTACATCAACAATAGAAACAAACTCAAGTGGCACACTTATTTTACCTTTTATTATAGGGCCAATATAATTAATAAGTACCTTAGCACAAAACATTTTTAAGAGGAAAACTAAGAAGCCTAATTTAAGTGATAATTTACTATTCTAGATCTTTTGTGCCATACTACTCCTCTTAATTATCATACACACACACGAATGGGAATTTTGTGACAAAGGGCAGACGAGATTATCTCATGGTTGTACTGTACCTTCCGAAAATCTCGCTTCTCAAAATCTGTTTCTGCTATTTTCTCATATTCCATGACTGCATTAGCATTCTTGAACTACACCAGAAAATCAGACATAGGAAAGTTTTAATGAAGCTGTAGATTAAACCACCACAAAAAAATTAACAAGGCGTTGATGAATTTGAATTGAGTAAATATACCACACTGCAGGGTCAGACTCATACCTCCTGTTTTGAGTGGCCACTTATATGATCCAGTTCTAGGGCTCTCTGGCAACTGTGACAGGCTGCCATGGCATTCCCTAGAGAGAGGTGGCACTTGCCCTCTCATAGATGTCTCTAGAAGATTTTCTTTCAAGAAAATCAGAACCACAGACATTTCACAAACCAAACTGATGAAGATACAGTCAAGACTCCTTAACAGAAGGGCTAGACCCAAACTTCACCCTCAGTTTGAACTTCAAGTCAGGAACACAAGTATCATGCTTGATATACCTAAAATAAAGGCAATGCATTGCCAGGTATTGAGTATACGTTTTGAGATTCTCACTGAAATGCATCTAGGGTAAACTGTATATACAGTCATATGCTCTGGTCAACAATGAACTATATACATGGCAGTGCTCCTGTAAGATTATAATACCGTATTTTTACTGTACCTTTTCTGTTTACACAAATACCACTGTGTTATAGCTGCCTATAATATTCACGCTATAAAGGTTTGTAGTCCAGAAGCTACTGCCATATAGCCTAGGTGTGTGGCAGGCTACGCCACCCAGGTTTGTGTAAGTATACTTTATGGTGTCTACACAGTGACAAAATCACCTAACGAAATGTATGCCTGTCATTAAGCGACACATACTGTATATGGAGATGTAATTAAAACATGTTTTAGCTGCTACCAATTTCATCAGGGCTTGAATTTACTCAAATTCTTTTTTATTTTTATTTTTTTTGAGACAGGTTCTTGCTCTGTTGCCTAGGCTACAGTGCAGTGGTGCGATCATGGCTCAGCTTCAACCTTCTGAGCACAAGCAATCCTCCCACTTGAGCCTCCTGAGTGGCTGGGATCACAGGTGCATGGCACCAGGACTGGCTAATTAAAAAATTTTTTTTGTGGAGACAGGGTCTCACTAAGTTCCAAACTCTTGAAGTCCCAAACTCTTAAATTCTTTAACCTCACTCAAATCAGTCCCTGAAAGTATCTGCCTATTCCCCAGCCATCTCAGAAACGCTTCAATTTTCACAGATTTTTAAAAGCTGTCAATCATATTCAAAACTCATTTTACAGATTAGGAAGCTGAGACTTAGAGACACTATGAAGCTCGCCTAAAGTCACCCAGGTGTGCTGATGGCAGAAGTGAGACCAGACCTCAGTTCTGACTTTCAAGTAGCCACTCCTCCCAAATATACCATACTGCTTCTTTTGATAGAAACAGCATCAGACCCGTACCTCTTGTTGTGCCTGAGCATTTTTATGATCCAGTTCTAGGGCTCTCTGGAAGCTGCGACATGCTGCCATGGCATTTCCTAGAGAGAGATGGCACTTGCCCTCTCGTAGATGTCCCTAGAAGAATACCAAGAGGGAAGAAAAGCAGGATGACTGGCCAAGTGGAAAGAAATCAACAGCAGCAACAAACACCCACACGAAAAAAACACAGAGGCTGGGCACAGTGGCTCACACCTGTAATCCCAGCACTTTGGGAGGCTGAGGCATGTGGATCACTCGAGGTCAGGAGTTCGAGACCAGCCTGGCCAACATGGTGAAACTCCATCTCTACTAAAAATACAAAAATTAGCCAGGTGTGGTGGCATATGCCTGTGGTCCCAGCTACTCTGGAGGCTGAGGCAGGAGAATTGCTTGAACCTGGCAGACTGAAGTAGCAGTGAGCTGAGATCACGCCATTGCACTCCAGCCTGGGCGACAGAGCGAGACTCCATCTCAAAAACAAAAACAAACAAACAAAACTAATACAGAATGAAAATGACTACAGCAGTTCCCAACCTGGGCAATTTGACCTCCAGGGGACATTTGGCAATGTTAGGAGACATTTTTGGTTGTTACAATTGCGCAGAGGGGATGCTACTCATACCCAGTGATTAAAAGTCAGAGATGACGCTAAACAACCCACAGTGCACAGTCTAGTCCCCCACAACAAAGAATAATCTGGTCCCAAATGTCAGTAGTGTCAGGGTTGAGAAGCACTGGGCTAGAGAAACTCAGCTGTAGCAACCCAGCCTTCCCCAAACAGCCCCATTACATACATACCCGGACAAAACTGTCATCCAACCTCACTGACTGTTGTGCATCTCCGAGAGCTTCCCGGAACCTTCCAAGCATCATCAAGGTGGCTGCTCGATTACCATAATAGCTAGCATTTTTAGGACACATATCTACAGGAAAGGCAGAAGAATGGTAAAACAAAGTTTAGAACAGGTTCCTGCTTTGAAAACTTAGAGGGGGCTGGGCGCAGTGGCTCATGCCCATAATCCCAACACTTTGGGAGGCCAAGAAGGGCGGACCACTTGAGGTCAGGAGTTCGAGACCAGCCTAGTCAACATGGCACAACCCCATCTGTACTAAAATACAAAAAAAAAAAAAAATAGCTGGGCGAGGTGGCGGGCACCTGTAATTTCAGCTACTCAGGAGGCTGAAGCATGAGAACTGCTTGCATCTGGGAGGTGGAGGTTGCAGTGATCCAAGAGCACACCACTGCACTCCAGCCTGGGCAACAGAGGAAGACCCTGTCTCAAACAAACAAAAAAACAAAAAACTTAGAGGCCATCTCCCTCCAACCAATGTTAAGGGAATCTATCTGTAATGCTGATAAACTCTATTTTCTTCGTGGAGATAGGGTCTCACTCGGTTGCACAGACTAGAGTGCTGTGGTGCTATCTCGGCTTACCGTAACCTCTGCCTCCTGGGTTCAAGTGATTCTCGTGCCTTAGCGTGCCAAGTAGCCAAGCAGCTGGGATTACAGGAATGCGCCACCACACCTGGCTAATTTTTGTATTTTTATTTATTATTTGAGGCACAGTCTGGCTCTGTTGACCATGCTGGAGTACAGTGGCATGATCTCTGCTCACTGCATCCTCCGCCTCCTAGGCTCAAGACATCTTCCTACCTCAGCCTCCTGAGTAGCTGGGACCACAGACACACGCCATCACATCCAGCTTTTTTTGTATTTTTTGTTGAGATGGGGTTTTGTCATGTTGGCCAGGCTGGTCTTGAACTCCTGGCCTCAAGTGATCCACCTGCCTCAGTCTCCCAAAGGGCTGGGATTACAGGAGTGAGCCACTGCACCCAGCCCTGACACACTCTTCAGAATGCCACAGCCAGCACGGTGGCTCACACCTATAATCTCAGCACTTTGGGAGGCCGAGGTGGGCAGATCACTTGGGGTCAGGAGTTTGAGATCAGCCTGGCCAACATGGCAAAACGCTATCTCTGCTAAAATACAAAAAAATTAGCCGAGCATAGTGGCACACACCTATAATTCCAGCCACTCAGGTGGCTAAGGCATGAAAATCACTTGAAACTAGGAGATGAAGCTGGCAGTGAGCCGAGATTGTGCCACTACACTCCAGCCTGGGTGACAATGACACTGTCCCCAAAATAAATAAAAGTCTACATCCAAATTTCTGACTGCTTGTGCAAATGGACAGCAGCAATGATAAAATCAGTTTTAAAACAAAACAAGGTACAGCTTTAAAGCGCAGTGATTATCTTTTGAGGGGAGAGGCAGCTTATTAATCTTAATGAACTGTGTTTTGTATAATGAGACATTAAAATGAAATGTGCGTGTTGAGTTTGGGTAAGCAAATTAGGTGAGAAGTATGCTGACATGGGATTAAAATATGCTGGCAAATTAAACATGGAGATAACTAAGACTTCTTTTTTGTACAAAGGCCATTTTCTGAGGTAGTAAATGAATTGGCAATGGCTGAAATGCATTTAGGTGGGTACTGTTTTGCCATAACATTGTTTCTGGAATTGCCTTTAATTTGTCAAAAGAAAAACTACCCACCCCAGTTAGAAGTTATCACATCTGGGTGTGGTGGCTCATGCCTGTAATTCCAGCACTTTGGGAGGCCAAGGCAGGAGGATCGCTTGAGTCCAGGAGTTTGAGACCACCCGGGGCAACACGGTAAGACCCTGTCTCTATTTTAAAAATTTAAAGAGTTAAAAAGAAAAAGAAAAAAAGTTATCATTCATGAGATTTTTTTTTTTTTTGAGATGGAGATTCGCTCTCGTTGCCCACGCTGGAGTGCAGTGGCATGATCTCAGCTCACTACAGCTTCTGCCTCCAAGGTTCAAGCAATTCTCCTGCCCCAGCCTCCCTAGTAGCTGGGATTACAAGCGCCCGCCACACCTAGCTAATTTTTGTATTTTTAGTAGAGATGGGGTTTCACCATGTTCACCAGGCTGAAAAGAAATGCGCATGTTGAGTTGGGGTAAGCAAATTAGGGGAGAAGAACTGATCTCAGGTGATCCGACAGCCTCGGCCTCCCAAAATGCTGGGATTATAGGCGTGAGTCACCACGTCCGGCCCATTCATGAAATCAAGCCTGAAGGAGTTCATACAGTAATAGTTATCAACCCATTAGGCAAAAGGCTACTTCTCAGAGAGAAGCTACTTTTTTTATTTTTTAATTTTTGAGATGGAGTTCTTTGGTCGTCCCCCAGGCTGGAGTGCAATGGCGCAATCTTGGCTCACTGCAACCTCCACCTTCCCGGGTTCAAGCAATTCTCCTGCCTCAGCCTCCCTAATAGCTGGGATTACAGGCACGCGCCACCACGCCCAGCTAATTTTTGTATTTTGTAGAGATGGGATTTCACCATGTTAACCAGGCTGGTCTCGAACTCCTGACTTTTGGTGATTCGCCCCACCTTGGCCTCCCAAAGTGCTGGGATTATAGGCGTGAGCCACTGTGTCTGGCCTATTTTTTTTATCTTTTTGAGATGAAGTCTTGCTTTGTTGCCCAGGCTGGAGTGCAGTGGCACAGTCTTGGCTCACTGCAACCTCCACCTCCCAAGTTTGGGCAATTCTCCTGCCTCAGCCTCCCAAGTAGCTGGGATTACAGGTGCCCGCCACCAGGCCCAGATAATTTTTGTATTTTTAGTAGAGACAGGGTTTCATCATGTTGGTCAGACTGGTCTCAAACTCCTGATCTAAAGTGATCTGACTGCTTCGGCCTCCCAAAGTGCTGGGATTACAGGCGTGAGCCACCACGACTGGCAGCTACTTTTAATAATATTTGGCAAGTAAATGTTTTCTAGCATAAGTATCAAGTCTTTCTCACCTATGGCTTTTGTATAATAATTATAAGCTTCATTGTAATCTTTCTTGGCATAGTATGCATTTCCTTGTTCCTTGAAAGTCTCTGCTTCCCTGAAAATGAAAGAGAAAAAGAATTATGTTACTGTACAAAGGGAATAACCTCTGTAATCTTCTAGGAGCAATCTTTGGTCTAGAGCCCGCAGCACATTGAGCTGAAAGTTAGTGTGATACTTGAAGGAATTTATAGATTTGTTCAATAGGCCAATGGACCAAAAGGAGGTGCCAATGAAAGAATCCAAGTTCTTCAGATGCTCCTTTTCGTCAGTTAGATACATTCAAAGTAAATCAAGAAAACCCCTCTTGCGCTCTTGCCTCACCTCACTACTTCTGCCTATAGCCATCCTCCCGCAGGACAGACAAATGTAGACATTCCCTCAGGGCAAGGAATTTTTCTTTCTCCTTCCACAGTGTCACAACTGCTGCCTCTTTTGCAAACTTACAGGAAAAAGGCTACTCCATTCAGGGGCAACTTATTTCTCAATGTGAAATAGGTCATATCCTCAAGAGTTTTAATAATTTCATCTCCTGAAAAGTGGCTCATGCATTTGTCACTGAAAGAACAAGCAGAGCAAAGGCAGGTGGCAAAAGAGTTAAAAGCATAGCATGTTGGTGTTTAAGACAGGAACAGAGTTGAGTGACAGCAGAGACTAAGAACATCGATGACAGGGATATATGAGGTATAGGCTGCCAGTGCCATACTATAAGGAACACCCATCTACTGGTGTTCCCTCCTCCCATCACATCTATGTAGGTACTTGCTGCCCCCTTTGCACTCCCTCCAGTACCTTATATATTCAACAACTGGGTTATAGCAGAATTTTTTCCCTACCTCTAAGATCTATTTTTTGAAACTATGCCATTAGACAAAGTACACTTTCTTAAAGGAACAATGTTATATAATTGGGGAATTAGATTCCTGAGCAAGTACCTAGAATCAAATCAGACATGACCAACAATGTTTTAACCTCTATCAAGATACTCAAAATCACTCCACTCTCAAGTGATAAAGATAATTCTTTACTGAAATGATTACTGCAACATTAACTAAGTACCTGATCATTTTTGTTATGATCCTGTTTCAACGGGAAAGAAAGCATCTTTCTTTTCCTGTTTTTCACGTGCAAAAAAGAACCTAGTTCAGAGTTGCCTGACGTGGGGGCAAAAGTCCTAGTTCTTAAACCCTGGCGATGGTATAGCAATTTACAGCTTGAGTCTATGGTTATCTGCATTAGGGAGATTTGTGATTTACTTACGTATTTTAAACTACAAACTAGCAAAGCTGCCCTCCTTTTATTGAGGTGATCCTCCCTCTCCATTCTTCTCCATCACTGTCCTGGCAAGCCCTACTAATATGAAAAGGCTGCTAGAAGAAAGGAGAAGGAAAATGGGAATGACCTATAAATGCTGACAGATTTGAAATGTGATGGATATAAATCTGCTTGAGTAACTGTTTATACCAACTATCACGATGCTGAAAAGAGGCCATCTGCTATTAAAAATCTTCAAGAAAGATCCCCCAATTCCAAGATTTAAAGGACCAACTGAAATCCTACTACACAGTATACACCACCCTGTAACTCTAAATTAAGCAAAGTGCTTATAAAAACTCTGAGGAGCCTATCCTTTAACAGCAGACATGCAGGGATTCAAACAAAGGACTTGCTTAAACTGGATTTCGATTAGTCAAACTGCTGTGAAGAAATGGAGTAGCAAATTCCAAAATAAGACATTAGGCCCAAACTCTATCAGAGATCTAGCCTCTTCTTCAGTTGGCTAGTGGCTAAGAATATGCAAATCTCTAAGGAAAACCAAGACATCTAGGTACCTGGGGAGACACTGTCAGCAGTATAAAGCCTGTTAATCAAAAGTGAAATAATGTACAGGGCTGCTGAAAGGTGCCCCTAGCCTCCTCTTTCCTAAAACACTACCCCTATGGAGGTTGGGGAGTTCAGGACTGGCTTCTAGAAAAAATGCAAAGGATTATTTTGGTGGATGGTTACTAATAATTACTGAGGCCAGGTACTTTCCATACATCATCCTCTATAAAACGGAGTCTGGTGAACATCATTATTCCCATTTTTCAAAGGAGGAAATAAGGCCTGGGGGTTAAATAACTTGCCTGAGGTCAGGTCAGGACGTTACCCACATTTGTCAGAATACAAAGCTTGTGCACTTTCTACTATGCCAAGCTTTCTCTCTAATGCTTGCCTCCACTTACTGCTAACTATTTTGAAAATCAATCTGTACTACGAGGAATAAGACATGGACAATATATGTAAGACATAGACAATACGTATAAATTTGTTTAAACTAAGACCCCGGGCATATAATATTTAACCCCAGAACCAAAATCGGTATTTAAATAAGCTAAACGACATTCCTAACAATTAGTCAAAGAGGAAGCAGGGCTCCTTTCTCTTTAAGATGCAAGACCTAGTGAACTGGACTTTGCCTCCCCAAAGAAATGCATTTCATTTTAGTAAATGGTGAGTAGATTCCATTCTAGAGCAAACAAAGCAAGTAATGTAGAGTCAGCCCACAGCAAAAAGAACAAGAAGAATTGTGTTGTGACAAGTTGCCATGTTTTTAACCTCACACTGCACAGCATCAGGCCAGAATTAGCTATTCCCACACAATTGCCTCATGAAAAGGACTTATTTTCATAGAAACGTGGCTGATTAACAGCTGCCTAAACAATGGGCACTTAGTGCTTTTAGACTGAACGCTGATTTTTTGCCTCCAGGTCCAATGCCCAAAGTGGACTGGAGTCCCTCCTTCATTTTGAACCTCCCGACCAAATACACAACAAGCTTTAATCAATGGGCCTGACCCTGTGAGACCAGTCGAGGAAAGAGTGGATCTTTGGAATCCAGCATGGCAGCAGCAAGAACTGAACAAGGCTGCATCAGGAACAATTCCAGGGTAAAATCCATTCAAGTCCTGCCCTGGAAGTCTGAGAAAGGGCTGAAGCTTGTTCAAGTTGCCTTTACAGCAAAGGGACTGAAGGATGAGATGTCAAAGGCGTGGGACTGGAAAAGAAGAAGAGCAGGTTAACACTGGAATTGAGGGCAGTCTGGTGGTGGCATCTGCCACTCACTCACTGCCAGGGTCAATTCATCTGATAAGCAAGTGAGGTTATAACATGTACCTACTGAAACACACCAGTACTGAGAAAAGAAGAATTAGGATTAACTGGCTTCACCTAGACCAATTTAAAAAAAAAAAAAAAAAAGGATTCCCAATGCACTAAACTACAGATTATTTTCTGTGGCTATAAAATTAAATTCAGATTAAACTCCTAAATATAATACCACAGCAAAATATAGATTTGGCCATAACTGATCTGATGGTACTATTAACAACTACAATATATTTGTAGTGTTGTTTCAGATTTTCAAAGCATTTCCAATGAAGATTTTGAATTTTTTTTTTTTTTTTGATGGAGTCTCGCTCTTTGGCCCAGGCTGGAGTGCAGTAGCATGAACTCGGCTCACTGCAGCCTCTGCCTCCTGGGTTCAAGTGCTCTCTCACCTTAGCCTCCTAAGTAGCTGGGATTACAGGCATGTGCCACCATGCCCAGCTAATTTTTATATTTTTAGTAGAGATGGGTTTCATCACGTTGGCCAGACTGGTCTCAAACTCCTGACTGCAAATTATCTGCCTGCCTAGGCCTCTCAAAGTGCTAGGATTATAGGCGTCAGCCACCACGCCTAGCCAAGATTTTCTTTTCTTCTTTTTTTTTTTTTGAGATGGAGTCTCGCTCTGTCGCCCAGGCTGGAGTGCAGTGGCGCAATCTCGGCTCACTGCAACCTCCGCCTCCTGGTTCAAGCGATTCTCCTGCCTCAGCTTCCCGAGTAGCTGGGATTACAGGTGCTTGCCAGTGCGCCTGGCTAATTTTTTGTATTTTTAGTAGAGACTGGGTTTCACCATGTTAGCCAGGATGGTCTCGATCTCCTGACCTCGTGATCCGCCCGCCTCCGCCTCCCAAAGTGCTGGGATTACAGGCGTGAGCCACTACACCCAGCCTAAGATTTTCAAATGGACTTCTGAGGTGGTTATGGCAATAATTTCACCTATCCTTCAACAAAGGAAGAGCTAGTGAGGCACCCAAGATGGCTGCACAGGTCTCCTAAGTCCTAGAAGTTTATATTTTCCCCTACATCCTGTTAGTATCAAGGCTTTTAGATTAAAACTAATTTATCCAGTTCTCCCACCAAATCCTTGCATCAACTTTTTTTTTTTTTTTTTTTTTTGAGACGTAGTCTTGCTCTGTCGCCCAGGCTGGAGTGCAGTGGCTGGATCTCAGCTCACTGCGAGCTCCGCCTCCCGGGTTTACACCATTCTCCTGCCTTAGCCTCCCGAGTAGCTGGGACTACAGGCACCCGCCAACGCGCCCGGCTAGTTTTTTTGCATTTTTTAGTAGAGACGGGGTTTCACCGTGTTAGCCAGGATGGTCTCAATCTCCTGACCTCATGATCCACCCGTCTCGGCCTCCCAAAGTGCTGAGATTACAGGCGTGAGCCACCGCGCCTGGCCCCTTGCATCAACTTCTAAGCAGAATAAGCTTCACAGCTCTGATTCACCAAGAGATGCTGGGAAGGACTCCACCTCCACCAACCCAGTCTTTTCATTTTAATTGACAGTAATACAGTTGTGTGCAAACAGCCACTGAAAGGTTTTCCAAAAAAATCTGTCCTCTTTGGATGCGTGGAGGATCTCCCACAACAGGATCAGCACTGGACGGCCTGGCCTTCAGAGAAGACATCTCATTCGTGGTCTCCTTTGCTATTTTAAAATGTATGTCTTTGTTTTTCAAAAATAACCTTGCTGGGCACAATGTCTCACGCCTGTAATCCCAGCACTTTGGGAGACAAAGACAGGAAGACTGCTTGAGCGCAGGAGTTTGAGAACAGCCTGGAAAACACAGGGAGACTCTGTCTCTACAAAAATTTAAAAATTAGCTGGGCATGGTGGTGCATGTCTGTAGTCCCAGCTACTTGGGAGGCTAAGATGGGAGGATTGCTTGAGCCCAGGAGGTTGAGGCTGCAATG